ATCGAGTCCCGCATCGGGCTCCCTGCTCGGCAGGGAGTCTGCTTCTCCCTCTGACCCTCCCCCCTCTCATGTGCTCGCTCTCTCATTCTCTCTCTGTCAAATAATAAATAAAATCTTTAAAAAAAAAAAAAAAGAATTATGTTGCAACTTAAATGATACCATAATTTGATCCACCTATCCAACTACATTATCCTCAGTTTGCTTCTTTATATCAGGGAGGAGCTTTCCAGCTAAGATGGAAATCAAAAGATTTCTGTGTTCTGGATTTGGAACTGTTTGTGGAATGTTTTAATAAATCCTTTCACAGAGGCTTCAGATGCTTTTTCGTCTGGGTACATCATTTCATTTTAGCTTAGGGAAGAAGGCCTAAGAAAACTTCCTATCAGGCTCTGATTATCAGCTTCCAGTTTGGCCAACTTCTAACCACAGAGCTATTTAAAAACTCCTTTTAAAATATCTTGTCACTTTTCAGCCAGGACAAAGAGTAAATGTTTCTGACAGTATTGAACAGCCCCCCTTCCATGTAAGAGGGGACCCCACGAGGATATAAAAGGATACTTACTATCTTCCCAAGATCCAGAGTTACTCTCAAAGATAGCCAAAAGAAAGAACCAGCAACCTGCATGTCCCATTCAGGCGGAAAACCAAGCCAGGTTCTTAGGACACAAAACAAGACAAGCAAGAAGGCAGTAGCTGTCCCTGAGGAAGAAAGGATCAAGAACCAGTTATGTTTCGACTGGGCGTTACAGATGGCGATTCAGGAGAGCTGACTCTGGTATGAATTCCCACTTTTCTCTGGCTTCTACCAGTTTTCCCAGGATCCCCTCTGTAGCCTCTGGTATCTACCAGAATTTGGCAAGATTTTTCGTTAATTTTAATTTTAGTTTCCCTTGGCTGTTTAAGAGAATAACATAGCAGTTTACCAGAAAATCCCTCAGAGTCCCACCAACTCTGGGAGGAGCCCATACGGGGGCCTCCTTCAAAGACAGATATGGGGGCATTCAAGTTGGTGTTGAAGGATTTATCCAAAATGTTTGAGGACAAAATTTTTTCTAATGGCCCAGTTGGTTACAAATGATATGCTGTCTGGGCCAGTGTTTTGATGTTATACTCCTGGGAGGGTGTAAGGGGGAGGCCTTAGGTGTTGTTTTAGATATCTTTTGTGTCTTTAATTTTTCATTACCCTTTGCAACAAAACTTTCAGTGAAACTGTTTTGGAATCTTGAAGGCTTTGGAAGCTTCTGCATACCAATTAAAATAGGTACCCATTTTGTTTGTTTGATTTAGGAACCCTTGCTTTTAAGTATACTTCTTAAATAAATGATCTTGTCTAATTGGAATATTCCCATATTGGCCATTGTAATTCTAGGTTATCTTTAGCAAGATTTTGCGTTTTTGTAGATATCTATAGCTTCTGGGACTATAGTTCTTAGCCATAAAATAAGTAGGTGTGCTGGAAGTCAGTATGCTGAACTCTGGAATTTATTTTTTTTAAAGATTTTATTTATTTGAGAGAGTGCGTGCACGCCATCACGAGCTGGGCGGGGAGGGGCAGAGAGAGAAGCAGACTCCGCACTGAGCAGGGAGCCCGACATGGGGCTCCATTCCAGAACCCTGAGATCATGACCTGAGCCAAAGGCAGATGTTTAACCAACTGAGCCACCTAGGTGCCCCTCAACTCTGGAATTTAAAGATCCCATATCTTCTAACTAAGCTTTTGAGTCTCCCAGAGCCAAATTAATACCTAAAGGGATATGCTGCTGGGTGAGGAATTGTGTGATGTTTTACAGCGTACTTGTTGCACGGAAGTTTTTTTGAGGTTGGCAGGTAACCCAGTATCGCTGTAGTGTCCGTTGCATGATCAGCTTACCCTAACACAGGAGTCTTAGAGTTAGCTGGCAAACGCTCTAATAGGTTTTTAAGTGCTCGGCCTGTGCCCATCAATTTTGTAGCTTTTGGCTTTTGAGATTCTCATCCGCAATAGCCTTTACCTTGTGTACACCTTAACATACCAGCAGTAACTGCGATGGTACTAACCAGTAAAAGGCTTTGTGTGCACCACCAGCACTTCTCAATGTGGAGCTGCGGACTTGGGAAGGTACTGAACCAGCAGACCCCAATGAATGGGCATCAGGGACCGGGATTCCCATGAAATGGGGAACTGCAGACTGAACTATTAGAAGTCCCCAACAGGGAATCTGAGGACTGGGGGTTCCAGTCAAATGGAGAATTGCAGACTGAACTAGCCACAGCATGGTCTTGTCAAGTGGGGGACCGTAGAAAGCCAATTAGATCAGGAGCTCAATGCCAAGAGAGCAGAGCTCAGAACCAAGAGGAACTTCCTGTGGCCCTGAGAAATGGCAAGAAAGACCAAGAATTCAGAGGGTTCATGGGTACCACAGCTAGCTGTTTCTCATTGTCCTCAGGCTGTCTGAAGTTTCCTTCAGGTCCCACCACTGCCATCAAATCTGTAAAAAGAAAATTCAGCTGAGGAAATTTTAAAGATCTTATTGGCTTTATTCACTGATTCAGCATCCCATTGAGCAGGCAGAAAGGAGCTCTGAGAAGCTGTACAAAGTGAAGTTTTTATAGGCAGAATGGGGTGGGACAAGGAAGTTCCTGGCAAAGAGAGCATTGTTTCAGGCAAGGTCACCTTCCTTTGGGGAACAGCTGGGGTCTGTCGGGCAGATTACCTCACCAGTGCTGACCAGGTAACTCCAGATGGACTGGTTTAAGATTCCACTCTTGGGAGAGGTTGAAACTGTAATTTAGATACCAAGTCTCAGTTTGGTGAGTGGGCTTAGTCCAAGTGACTCCCACTTGGGCCCTCTCCCTTTTTTAAACAACACCCAAGGCTCAGCGCCCCCCCCCCCCGGCCTCCCTTCCTTTGGCCACCATTGCGACTCCTTGTGACTCAGGGACAAGGATGGTGTCCCCCTCTCGGCAATCACCTCGGGTTTTTGCTTCTTTAATTCTTTGAATAATTTTGATTTACCATTATTTGATTTAAGAAGCCGTCCCTTTCTGTGTATTCATTCTCCAGCCTTCTTTTCTTTCAGGTCTTGCCCCTCTCCACCTCCTCCTGCTGTGTGGCTGTATGACGTTACTCGCCCTTCCTTCGCCTGCTTCGCTCCCATCTCAGCTCCGTCTCCAGCCGTAGATGGCCTGATGATGCGCCGGCCTTTTCACACGAAATCAACTTGCTTTGTTTTTGTTTTAATTTGGTTTTTGATTCTTGTTACTGTTGGCAGAAACAATGTTAATTCATGGGCCTATTTCTTGCTAAGTTTTGGGTGCCCTGGGGTGGGGGCTGCATCATGATCTGCTGAGGAATGAACGTAAAGACGGAGGCTGTCACCCTCTGAGGTGGTGGTTGCCTTCTGGTCATGTCTGTGGCTCAGGAGAGGGGGCCAGGCAGTGAGCTGTGTGATTGCCAAGCGTGTCAACAGATTGTGCAGGGGCCTCCCGTGTCGGGGTCAGAGGTCAAGGACAGGCCTGGGGAAGGGGAAGGCCCTGGCCCCTGAGCTGCTGCCAACCCCTGCACGGCTTCCCCTCCACGGTGGTGGGACAGGGAGCTTGGGGAGGGGTGTCAGGTGAACTGGCCAAGTGTGCTGTGCACAGCCTCCACACCCTGCAAATGGGGAGGCCCAGGGAAGGCTGGGATGCGTCCGGCACGGCAGTGTCGGCTGAAGGAGCTCCTCTGCAACTCAAGACCAAGCCCGCCTCAGGCTGTTGGGGGGACCCTGTCTCCCCCTCAGCAGCCTCGTGTCCTCTCTTGCAGGAGGTCCCAGGTCATTGAGAAATTTGAGGCCTTGGACATTGAGAAGGCAGAGCACATGGAGACTAACTCGTCAGCCGGGCCCTCACCATCAGGTGACACTCGCCAGGGCCGTAGCGAGAAGAGGGCATTTCCCAGGAAACGGGTGAGCGCCTGGGGCCCAGGCAGGGCCACGTGCGGCCACGGGGGCACAGTCAGCATGTGGCCCCACACCTTCTCACGGGGCCCCCAAACACACACGTGCACGCACGGCTGCTGGGCTTCTCGCTCTCGTTTCCCAGTTGTTTGCTCGTGTCTCTCCTCTCCTCCAGCGAGTGACTTTCTTGAGGGCAAGGCCTGTCTTCTGCATCTTCCTGTCAGAACTTCATCCATTTCTGCTAAAGGCTAGTCTGGCGATCCTCAGATCCCCAGGTCATAGCTAGAGCTGCTCTCTTCTTCTCTGAGGCAGCCCGGCCGTGAGGCTGAGCACCTTCCTTCCTCTTTCTTCCGAGTGGCGGCCACAGCCCTCGCTTCTCTACTCAGCCCACGGGCAGATCCCTCTTCTGAACCCTCCTCCTCCTCCCGGGCAGCCCACCCGCGTCTCGTGGCCCTGCTGTGTCCGATCTTCATCTTCCTCCCCAGCTTCTCTCTGGGCTTATGAGGTGCTCTGCTGCGGGCTGCCACAGAGTCCGGGGCTCTTCCTTCTGTGACCCCGAGAAGCCAGGGGACGGGGGTGGGACCAGGAGAGTGATGGTGACGAGTGCATCTGAAAGATAAGGCCGCTCCAACAACTAGCGCGTCTTTGAACCTGCTGCGTGAAGCAGGTGGCGCTGGACGAGGAGTCCCGGCACTCTGGCTCCGGTCCCCACGCTGGCCCAGACCTGCCATGGGAGCCCAGACCGAGTGCTCTCGTCCTCGCCTGGGAACAGTCTTGACCCTCCCGCAGCTCTGGCTGCTGGTCTCCCTGCTCCCCGCCTCAGTGTACTGGCTTGTACTGACTGGCGGCGCTCTCTGCCACAGGACCTCCCCAACGAAGCCCCCACAGCTCCTCTCACGGACACCTCGGCCTCCCCCCTGTCTCCACACCGAAGAGCCAAGTCACTGGACAGGAGGTCCACGGAGTCCTCCCTGACGGTGAGCCCAGGCGCCTGCGTACCGAGGCCTGGAGACGCTGCTCCTGCCGCTTCTGTCACTTGGGGTCACTGTCTGCTTATGTCCGTGCGTCCGTGCTGCCTGTCCCCTCTGCACCGGCCTTCGTGTCTGTGCGTGGGAAGCAGATGCTGGGTTTCGTTCCCCTTTTTGGACTCCATGGGCATCCTGAGCTCTGAAGTGCCCGGTACGGGCCACTTGGCCAAGACAGCAAAATCCTGACTTCGGGGCACCGGGGCCACAGCAAGGAACCTCTGTTCTTGTTTTGGGTGTATGTTTCAGTGACATTTTGGAGACAGGAGCCCCCTCTAGCTGGGAGCCCTGGCCTTGTTTGTGGTGTTTCACCGCAGAAGGAGAAGGGTTTTTCCCTGAGTCTAGGCGTGGCTCAGAGGTTTGGAACAGAGACTCCCAGAACACGTGTTGCTGGTGGTGGTCCTGCCACCATACACCTGTTCTCATAATTCCCCCCACCCCAGTCCTTCAAATACAGAAAGACATCACAGCCTATTTCTGGTCAAGACAGCTGTAGGGACGTCGAGAGCAAGCACGTGGGGCGAGGGGAAGGAGGATCCCCATCTCTTTTTTTTTAAGATTTTATTTATTTATTTGACAGAGAGACAGCAAGAGAGGGAACACAAGCAGGGGGAGTGGGAGAGGGAGAAGCAGGCTTCCCGCCGAGCAGAGAGCCTGATGTGGGGCTCGATCCCAGAACCCTGGGATCATGACCTGAGCCGAAGGCAGACGCTTAACGACTGAGCCACCCAGGCGCCCCTGGATCCCCATCTCTTTAGGCGCCAGCTTTACAGGTGTCCAGGCGTGAAACACAAGCAAGGCCCAGCTGGGCTGCAGGTGGTCCTCAGGTGCTTCCTCCCGCAGCTCCGCAGGCCCAGGGACACTGGTGCAGGAGAGCCCGGCAGGGACAGTGCCCCCGGCTTTCCTGTCAGCTGTCCGGGGTTTGCATCTTGCAGGGAACTGGAGCCTAAAGCCAGTCCTGTTCGATACACGGCCTCAAGGCCTCAGCAGGCTTGCTGCTGCATCTTTGCTCAACACTGTGCGTGGGCTCTGCTCTTCAGGCTTCCTCTCTCAGTCTTCCTGTGGCTTCTGTGAGAACTTCTGATTTCTTCTTTTAGTGCTCACTGCAGATTTTCCCCTTCATGGGAAACACGAAACAGCTCTCCCTCGGGTCATTCTGTGCTGCCAGGCAGCTGCTGCCTACGGAGCCAGGGGCTTCCCTCAGAGCGTCCGGGCCGCCCAGCTTCTGCTGCTCACGGGGCGCTGGGGCCGTGCCCTTTCCTCCTCATCAGCCCGCCGAGCCTGGCATCTCCTCCCTCGAAGACATGCGAGTCTGCAGAATGTTTGCGGGCAGGGGAGAAACCCCTTTTCCTGCCGCCCACCTCATCTGGACAGAAATGCCTGCCCCTCAGTCACCCTTTCCCCACAACTGGGATATCAGTGTCCTTTCTTCTGAACTGTTCTTTTTTTTCCTCCCTCTCTTAGCCCGACCTGCTGAATTTCAAGAAAGGCTGGCTGACCAAGCAGTATGAGGACGGCCAGGTGAGAATGGAGGGCTGCTGGGGCCCCTGAGGCAGTGGGGAGCAGGTGCTAGGTCTACTTGTCCCCGGCAGGTGTGGGAACCCTGGCTCGATCCCCTACCTCCAGCGTGACGTCTTGGCCAGGGCTGTGGTGTGGCCGAGACCCCCATCTCCTCAGGGACGTGGAGGTGCACAGCCTCCCCCATCCTCCGTTCTGCAGTGGGGGGTGGGGGCCTCTGGAGGAGATCGCCCTCCTGCACCCCGCAGGGATCTCGGCCTCAGGCCAGGGGAGTGTCCTACAACACTAGCTCCCTACCTGGTGATCTTTCCTGAAAGTTCCCCGGGAGCCTCTGGTTGTGTGGTTGGCTTGTGGTTGCTTACAAGGCCGGCCAAGTGGACAGCAGCCCAGGGCTTCTAGACTCTACCAGAGACTCCAGCTCAGCTGCAGTCCTGGGAGGAGCCAGTGGGGTACATTCTTGTCATCAGACTCAAGCAGGAAGAGCCACTTGCAGCTGGACCTGCCAGCCCCACCTCGACCCTTGTTGGGGCTGGAAGGCCAGGCCTCCAAGAAGGCATGAAGAGGAGCCTGCTAGTTCATACTGAGAGAAGCCCTGAAATCCTGCCCTCCTGAGCTCCCCCTCGTGCCTCCTGAGCGACTGTGCCGAAACATCCTCTTTTTCTCTCTCCTCCATATCAATCCCCTTGGCCTTGCCTGAAGACTCAAGTCTCCCTCCTTGCTCCTCACAGTGAAGACTTGGGAAGCTAGCTGGCTGGTTTGCTCCTGCTGGCTGCAGGTGGGCGCGCCCCTCTGGTTAGCCCCCAGTGGCCGTGGCTCACAAGCAGCCCCTGAAGGATGGAGATGCTGTTTCCACAGCCACCTTTCAGCTCTGAGGGCCCAGCCCCCTGTCTGCAGCCTCTGGAGTTGAGATTGAGGACTGCGAAGCACTTTTCACCAGGCATAGCACTGTGGGTTCCAGAGAGCCCATAGCCTGCGGCCCACCCCAGCTCTCCATGCTGCCTGGCCACGGGGGAGCCGCAGCTTAGCAAGTGCCCTGAGGTCATGTGCGCATGGCTGCCTGCGGCCTGAGCGGAGTCCTGTGTGTGTCTGCCACTCGTGGGAGGGGCCGCCTGCCCTCTGCTTTTCCTGTGCTCTGCGAGGTTCCCCCAGGACTCTGGCTGTGGATCACCTGGGAGCAGGAAACGTGCTGCTCTACTCTAGTTGAGTCTGCTTTTTCCCTTCCCTTTTAGTGGAAGAAACACTGGTTTGTCCTTGCTGATCAAAGTCTGAGATACTACAGGGATTCGGCAGCTGAGGAGGTGAGTGTCTTGGTTTCCTTCCTAGTTGTGGAGACAGCTAAAGGGGTCCAGCTGCTGCTGCTCCGGGCTCAAGTCCCCTTCTGTCTGTCGACAGGTGTCCAAGGTGCCGTCTTGGGCTTCCCGGTCTAGATTTGGTGGGAAGGCTGAGCATAGTGTGACCACCTTTTGATGTTCTCGTGACTGATTCTTCCTGAAACGTTGAGCTGTTTTGAGGCCCTGCTTTAGGCGCCTGGGTGGTGTGTTTCAGTGGCTTCTCTTTTCTCTGTTCTTTGAAAAACATTGAAAGATGTCTTATTTTAAAACTCAGGATGAGCAGTTTTGTTTTTTTCTACAAAGATTTCATGGAGAATGGAGTCTCTTGAGGGAACGGCAGGCACTAAATCTTGTCCCTTGTCTTTTGGACAAAGATGGGATGTGACAAATGTACTTGGTTGGCCCGGTTGACTGTCTTGATCCCATGGCTGAAGACCAACCAGAAGAGGCTCTTTTTTCTTCGCCAGAAAAAAATACCATCTCTTGAGCAATTTGACAAGTCTGTGTTCCTACCTTTTGCCTTGCATTCCACTCCAGGAATTCTTCAGATATATTTCCACTTATAGGAAAAGATCTGTGCCCAAGGTTGGTCATTCCTGCACTTTTGTAATAGCAGAAGATTGGCAAGAATATAAATATCTGTCATTAGGAGGCTGGTTATACATATTTACATATCGTGAACCTCAGAAAAAGGAAGTTGTTTATGGACTTCAGTGGAAAGATGTGATACAAGGTAGATGAGAGTGGTGTGGGCAGCAGGCCCTTGGTGCAGCCTGACATCAGGGAACACGGGAGCATGTGTGGTTAGTAGTCTGTGCATAGACCAGCAGTTCTCAGAGTGTCGTCTGTGGACCCCTGGAGCCCTTTCGGGGGGCTGGTCTACTCAGAACCATTGTCATAAAATTAAGATGCCATTTAAAGTCTCCGTTCGTGAATACTCTTCTATATTCTATGATTCAAAATCGACAGTGAGCCTGAGTCACTTCTGCTGCATACTGGAGTGTGAGGGGTGCCTCGTGGGAAAGCACTTGCGCCTTCTGGTGGCTTCTCCTCGTGCAGTACTGTCTGTACTGGAGAGAGCAACTGAGACACAAACTGCTCACTCACTGTGGGTGTTTGGCACCTTCTTAAAAATGAACCAAGTGAGTCTGTTCCTTCAAGGAAAACAACTGACAGTTTGTTGCCAGCAATACAATTTGAGCTTTCAAGTGCATTTGGAACTTTGGAAAATGTGTTTTCCCCGTCACAGACTTGACAGCTTCCCTTTCCTTACAGACTGTCCTGACAACATAGGTGCTGATCCTATCATGCTTTGAGCTTGTGTCATGAAATGTGTCAACCTGGGGAAGATCCGCCTAACTTGACGTCTTCCAAATGACCAGTACATAAATTACAAAATCACACATGGGTAAAGGTCCATTCAGAGGACAGCAAAAAACCATGGATTTTAATATAATAGTATTGAAAGTCCTTTCACAGGATTTCAGATTCCACTTCGCAGTTAACCTTTAAGAAAGTACAACTTTTCACAGTATGTCAAACTGTCATGCCGTACACCTTCAACTTACACAGTGATGTATGTCAACTATTCCTCAACAAAACTGGAAAAAAAGAAAGAAATGACTATTAAAATATGTCTCTCTTTTCCAGGCTGTATCTATATAAAGTTGGACAGTCTTCACATACGGTTGACCCTTGAACAGACATAGGGGTTAGGGGTGCATCCCCTTCTGCAGTTGAAAACCTGTGTATAACTTTTGACTTGCCCAAAACTGAACTAAGAGCCTACTGTTGATCACAAGCCTTACCAACAGCACAAACAGTTGATTAACACATTTTGCATGTTATGTATATCATATACTGTATTCTTAGAATAAAGTAAGCTAGAGAAAAGGCCATTAAGAAAATCATAAAGAAGAGGAAATACATTTACAGTACTGTACTACATCAGAAAAAATCCATGTATAACTGGACCCACAGAATTCAAACCCATATTGGTCAAGGGTCAACCATACTTCATTCAGAACGATGTATTGAACAGGATGAATGTAGCAACAGATGTGAGAATCCAGCTCTCCTTGGAAACCAAGCATTTAAAGAAAGATTTGCAAAAATCCATTGCTGACTTTTTAAAATATTTTTTATGAAAAAATAAAATGGTTCATTTGTGTTCTTAAAGGAGCAAATATCTTTACTTTTTTCTAGTTTATTTCTAATATGCTAAATATCATCATCAATAGATAAAAGCCACATAAGTGAAAACTCTTTGGGGTCCTCAATTTTTAATAATATAAGAGTCCCAACATCAGGTTTGAGAACCACTGGCATGGGATATCTTTGGCAGGGTGCACGGGGACATGGCATGGATGCTTCCAGGTAGTATAGGATAGTCAGTATCCTTACTCATCAGTGTATGTGCCCATTAAAAATAAGGCTAACATGGAAATTCGCTTGTCTAGGTGTTGACTTTTACTTTCTCTCTGTAGGCGGCTGACTTGGACGGGGAAATTGACTTGTCTACGTGTTACGATGTCACAGAGTATCCAGTCCAGAGAAACTATGGCTTTCAGATACATGTGAGCCTGGGGTGGAGTTTGGAGACAGGCTTGGGGGTGGGGGACACGGGCTTGACCTGCTGAAACATTTCTCCAAGAACCCGATGTCTTGGTCTGGGGACACTTGTGGGCAAGTCTGACCTCCCACAGGCTTGGTTGGCCCACGTTCTTTGCTGTCAACACTGGTGCCTTGACCTGTGCTTCCTCTGTCCCTAGCACCTCCTCCCAACCCCAATTTGTGATCTGAACAAAAAATTAGGCATTAGCATCTTTCTTCTTAATACCATTTAGAAGCTTTCTGTTACTGAAGGTTCTTTCCTTTTTCTTCTTTTTTAAATGCTGGCATTTGAGAAGAACATGGGATATGGGAAATAAGAACAGAAGTGTTAAGCCTTTTAAACCTAAATACTAGGTTTTTACTCATTTATTCTTCATTTGGACATTTATTCATCCACTTACAAGTCTTTTTTCCCCACGGTCTTATGAGGGATTCAGGAAAGCAAGGCATTGCCCCCCACCCCAAAAAAAAGAATCTGATTAAAGAAATGAAATGGTTCTCCTGGGTCATTTCATTAAAGCTGGTGGCTCAAGGGCTACCTGGAGGCAGTCAGGCTCAAGGTTAGGGCACAGTCCTCAACTGCAAGATCAAGGGGTACCCAAAACCGCCCTCAGGCTCCAGAATTAGCCAGAGTGACTCACAGAACACAGGAAAGCACTATACTTAACAATTGTAGTTTCCTTGTAGCAGAGGATACAAATCAGAACAAGGTAGAGTAAGAGACATGGAGAATTGTACTGGGATGGCCCTAAGCGCAAACCTTCTATGTCCTCGGGGATGCCTTCCCTCTTGGGTGATGTGTGGCGGTACCCAGAGCTTCCAGCCCAGGAAGCTCACCCGAGTTGGTGGCCAGAGCTTTACCAAAGATTGAGTTATTGTCCATGTAGTCGAATGCAGTTTCTAGCCCTTTCCGCAGAGCTCGGCTGATTTCACGTGTCACAAAGTCCCAACTCTCTCACTTCATGGCTGGTCTTTCTGGAGCGGCCAGGCCCCCCCCCCCCCGCCGAATAACAAGGATTCACAGGTTACTTCCCAGGAGCTGGGACAAAGGCCAGACCTCTCTTTGGGCAAAGCTAATTCCTCCCTCACAAGAGCCCTGGGAGCGTGTGCTAATGAGCAGCCGGACAGAGCTGCCACCTGGGACTCGGTTTCTCACGGGGAGCCAGAACTCCACTTGGGTTGCCTTTAACGGGGTCTTTTCTTTAGGTCTTTGGGTCCAGAAACTCAGTTGTATTTCTGGACTCAAGAGTAGATCAGGCATCTTGGGACTAACTTGTATTAACCAAACCCAGAGGAGACCAAGGTTCAGACCCACAGGCCGGTGAGTTTATTACAAGGAGAAATCCAGGTGGCAGCCCACCAGGCTACTGGTCATGGCATTGCCTGCATGCAGGGCAACTGCATGGACACCAAGGCCTGGTTGGAGGTTGCACTGATGGCCTGGCCTCAGGGCCAGGGCGTGAGTTGGTGGATCTTGGTGGCCCAGGCTGCCCTGCTGTGATGCTCTTCTGCCCTTGTCCCTGCGGGAGGAATAGACGTGCCCGGTAAGCCAGCATGTCAGACAGCATTGGAGTTCTCTCTGAGAACTCACCTGCTCTCCCCGTCACAGACGAGGTCATTTCTGAGTCACCTGTGTTCCCCAGCGGATCTCAGCTGTCAGTCAGACCCCTCTTCACTTTACCCTGGGCGGGGCAATGTGAGCTTAGCTCCAGTTCTGATGCTTTTCCATGAGCCCCATGGACTCAGAGTGCTACGCCAGGGGAGATTGCTTCCAGTGCGGGAGAGTGGGTCCCAGGAGGGGCCCAGCCTGGACCACGAAGGAGCTTTAGGATCTCGCGAGGCAAGGCTGGAGGGCTGAGTTCGCCGTGTTCTTGCCTGGCCACCAGATCTAGTGGCACCCACAAGGTAGCTGAGTGCAGAAGCCAGGTGAGGGTAGCACCGTGGGAGCCCTGCGTGCTGGGTCAGGAATCAGTCTCGTCCTGAGGTTGGGGGAAGCCCTGGAATGTGTTGGAAGACACTGAGGCAGTTGTGCCTTAGTAAGACCCATCCAGCAGGACACTCAGCGCACTTAGAAAGGAGAGGAAGGTAGAGGCAGAAGGCCAGGCGGTGAGAGGCACAGAAAGTGGTGGGAAGGGCCATGGTGGAAGAGCAGCTGGGCTGTGGCTCTGGCCAGGGGAAGGCGGAGGCAGGTGTGAGGGGCTGCACCCCACAGCGCGGTGAGCCTTGTGCGGGCGGCAGAGGCGGCCTCGCAGGAGGGGAGCCTCTGGAGCTCTGGCCGTGCCGCGTTTGAGGCCTCCCTAAGAACATGAGACAGGCAGCCGTGAGCGTGCACCTGGTTGGGAAAGAGCTGTCTGCAGGTGAGAGAGGAGCTCGTGGGAGAGAATGTCCAAATTGCTGAGGTCAGACTGCAGAAACCCCACACTGGAGTGGGAGGAAGCCGAGGAGCCAGGGATGCGGGGAAGCTGGTCCTGGGGCACGAGGGGCCGGTGCTCCAGAGAGCCCTGAGGCAACATCCCTGCGCTTGGCTTGCACGGAGGGGAAAGTGGTGAAGGAGAGATGAGCTGGGCCATGGGCTGTTGGCTGTCTCGACTGGGGGTGCCGGCGGGGGCCTGAGGTGGATGATGAGGTCAGGTCCAAGCTGCGTTTTGCAGCATGCTAAGCCGGCCTGTGGTCTCAAACACTGGCCCCTGGCTGTGCCAGTGTCCATCCCAAAACCATCTTGGTGACTTCATCTTCCCATCAGCTGACTAGCTGACGTGTCTCACAGGCCCATTGGTCAGTAGCCTGAGCAGCCTAGGGAACGGTACTGACACCCTCACTCCTGTGACATGGGAGCCCGTGGTGCAGGAGCAGGGAGGTGGCCTCCAGGAGACCACCACCTGCATTTCATGCCCCTCTTATCTTGGGTGCTGCCTGTCCGCGTGGCTCAGTGACACAAGGGTTGCAGCCCAGAGGCCTCTCTGCTCGCTGGCCCTGCTGCCCACTCTCAGCCCCTGTCTGGCTCCCCTTCCCTCCTCTCCGCCTTCTATCCCCACATAGTGCAACTCCTCTCCCTCAGCCACCACCAGCGTATTCCTCTGTCTTGACCCAGGTCTGCACCAAGGTCAGGGGCGTGCAGTCCACGGATTGTGTAAAAGCAGCCCCCTCCGCTCCCATATCCTGTGAGTGAGGACTGCATACCACCTCCTTTACCGCCCCAGAACCTCCCTCTTCTCTGTCACCATGCTAAATCTAACTATGACTGCCCTGGCGGCAGCCCAGCAGGTCTCCCTGCCTCTTCTCAGCCCGACACATGCGGCTCCCATAGGGCCAAGCCTGCCTGCCAAGTCCCGTGCCTGCCACTCTCCTAACCATCACCCTGTGCACCTGATGTGCCTGCCTGCATGCTGCTGGGCCTGGGACGGTGCTGTCCCCGGCCTGGGGGCCCCTTCCCACTGCTCCCCACACACTGGCTTTGTTCTCGGGTCGTGCTCTCTCCTTCCCCCTAGTCTGTGAGCCCCTGAGGGAGCAGGGCGAGCCATCCGGGGACCAGGGACGTTGTAGGCACACAGGAAACAGAGAGGAGGATGGCTGAGTCAGCCACAAAAGCAGATTTGCTATTTCCTTTGCTCTCCAACTTTTCTTCGAGGAGGGCACACACAATGCTCCTGGGACAGCCCCCTACCTGGCTGCTGTTCTCCCTACAGGATGTCCTTTGGGGGCAGGGAGGGGACAGTCCCTGATGACAGCTTGTCTTTTGTGTAGACGAAGGAGGGCGAATTCACTCTTTCTGCTATGACATCTGGAATCCGGCGGAATTGGATCCAGACCATCATGAAACACGTCCACCCAAGCTCTGCTCCAGACGTGACGAGGTAAGACAGCCGGTGTGCCTGTGGGAGCCACCTTCCCTGCCAGCCACCACCTCGCTCCTTCATGGTCTGTGGTTCTTCTCTTCCAGCACAGCCCTCTTCCTTCCCTCCTTTGTCCCATCGCCGGCTGGCCGCGCTCAGTCTCCCTCTGGCATCCTGGTTTTTCTGCCTCAGGTGACCTTTTCCTCCTTTAAGCCTGGCCAGTGGAGCCGTGTGTGCAAGGAGCGTTTGTGCCCCTGTCGGGACTGAACTTAGTGGGAGAAGCCCCTCCAGCCCAGGTGCTGGGCCTTGCTGGCGGCGGGGTAAGGGCAGCCCTGGATGCCGCCTTCACAGGCCGTCAGGATGTGTCTTTTTCTTGGTCATTTTGCCCCACGCCTCCGTCTGTTGGATTTCTGTGCAACCAGGAAAAACTTCTTTGAGACTCGGTGCTAGAACTGGGTTGGAAATCTTGTTCTCCCCTCACGTTGGGTCTCTGTGGTTTGTACACCTCATGATGTGCCACATGCCTTCCTCCTCCTGCCCTGAAGGTTAGAAACCCGCTATTTTCAGTTCAAGAGAAAGAGAAGATTCTGGTGCGTGGGGCTGGTTCCACAATGCCCAGAACTCTGACGTCCTTAACTGAAGGCTTCAGAGCCTTCACCTGTTCTGAGAACCTCCCGTTTACACTTTACAGGTCATGTACTTTGCATGATTCTTCAAGTGTCTTTCTTGTGTTGTTGGTCACACCTGGGGTGGCGTCCCAGGGCCCACTGTATGCCCCTCAGTGGCCTGGGGCGGCTGCGGCCACGCCAGAACTTTGTCAAGGGCTTGCCTGCTTCCTAGTGACACTGCACCTGTTTGAGCAAGAAGATAGGAACAGAATCTTCTGTCCTGTGTGTATTGACATTGTTGTTCATTCCTTCATTTATTAAGTGAACAGAATATGTGGTTGTTGTTCCTGTCAGTAAGACCAGGCGTTGGTGGCCAGGACAAGTTCTCAAGTGTCCTGTTAGCAGAGCTTATCTGTTAGTGGAGTGCGTCCCGCCCGCGGAGATGAATGGAGCGCTCTCGTCCTCATGGGCAGCCTCAGTGGCTGTCCTTGGGCCCCTGGAGCAGAGACCAGCCAGGAGCAGAGACCAAAGCTTTGTAAGGCCAACCTTGAGGATGCCTCCCTAGCAAAGCAAGAAAGGCAGCTCGGGGTTCTCTGGCAGGGCTGCTGCCACAGTGGCTTGGGTGGTGGACATGAGGGGACCTGAGGTCCTGTCCTGGCCGCCAGCCCTCCCCTGCCTGCTGTGTCCTGGCTGGCCCCAGCTGCTCCACGAGGGCCTGGCCCTTTGCAGGGATTGAGGGGCCCGGCTGGAGGAAGTCAGCTTGGGATGTCGCGGGGCCGGCATGTGGCGTTGGCCTCAGAACAGGGGTGGAGGACACACTTGAGCATATGCACGTGCACATATGTCCCAAGGTGAGCTTCACGGTTCCCTGCCACACTCAGACGTTGGGTCCGTGCGGGGACTGCAGGCCCACCAGGACCAGGTCTTTCATTTGTGTCAGACGGTTGGCTTAGTGACTGTCTTCCTGACTAGAATTTACTTCAGAATTAGTGTATCTGAAACTTAGGGGCTCCTCACTCTCCCCCAGTTTGTCTTCAGCCTTTCTGCTGGTTTTATGTGGGCTTTTAGAGTGTGAGGAAAATTTGGACTTTTTTAGTGCTTACAGGGCCAAGTCAAATACAAAGGTCAGAGGGCAGGTTTGAGCGATGTATCGTAGTCTCCCTGCGTCAGTGGTGGGGAGTTGCAGGGGCTTCCTGCCTGGGGCTGGAGGGACTCCCTGTCATGGAGCCGGGGCTGCTGCCCCCAGCTGTCCATGTGGTCGTAATGCCCTACACGGTTGGAAGCCGGGGTCAGCTCTCAGTTCGGTGGCATTGGAAGATCTCTTCTGGAGAACTTTTATTCAGGTGTGCATGTGGTCTTAAATTGGCAGCTTGTGGGTCCCACCACCCTGAAGCACTTGAGACAGATGGCCCAGAGCATGATGATGACCATGTTTTCGTTCCCTTGGGTGCCTCTTTCCCAGGCTCCCTTCTCTTTGACTCCCATTTAAAGACTGACGCTCCCTGGGGCTCCTGGGTGGCTCAGCCGGTTAAGCGTCCGGCTCTTGATTTCAGCTCAGGTCTTAATTTCAAGGTCATGAGTGCAAGCCCCGCGTTGGGCTCCGCCCTAGGCATGGAGCCTATTTAAAAAAAAAAAAGAAAATTAAAGACAGGTGCCCCCAGCCCACCACCCCACAGCACCACCCTCGCTGGCCCTCGACACCCTGGGTGGCTTCCAACTCTGTTCTGCCGGCTTGGGCAGGACCAGAGGCCACTCTGCTCCAGCCGGAGCCTCAAACCACCACAACTGATGCTCCCGCCTCACCGCTGTTCAGGGGGCATCCTCTTTAGGAATCTTTGCTTTGGGGCAAATTGGACAAAGGCATGGACTCCTTACTGGGCAAGGAGAGGTGCCCTTGAATCCGCTCCCTGCTCACCTGCACGGGGTGGGCCACTACGTGGTGCAGGCACCCAGGTGCCACCTGGGCCATCTCTCTCACCAGGGCACGGTGGTCTCAGGCCTTCCATGCTGTGATCCATCTGTCACACCAGCCGCCAGGGTGGTTTTCTTAAAATGCAGACCTGACTGGGTTATTTACCACTTGTTAAAAAAGCCTCGAGCCTTTGGGGAGAAGTGGTTGGTGTCATCCATTCTGTCAGCACTGCCCGGTGCACGCGCTCCACAGGGTTGGCCTCCCTCACGATCTCGTTTAGATGGTGGCCAGGCCCAGTGCAGCCTGATGGAGACTGCGTCGTGACACTCTCCGACAGCATCTCTTTCGGGTTCCTCTGAGGTCCGAGACTAGAAACTCTGAGCCATCTGTGGCTCTTCCTTTCTTGTCCCCACTCAGCACCGGTTTAGGTTCCCCTATGGAAGGGACACAGGTAAAGGCAAAGTGTCCTTTCCTTCCCTCTCCTGTGGGAACCGTAGCCGCATAGAAAGAGAAAGTGGTGGAGCTGGGCACCCTCCAGGGCAGGTGGCTGTCACCAGGAGCCACACCTCACAGGCTCTCTGCCCCTTGCCCCCAGCTCACTGCCAGAGGAAAAGAACCGGAGCAGCTCCTCCTTTGAGACCTGCCCGAGGCCAAGTGAGAAGCCAGAGGCGGAGCGTGGAGAGCCAGACCCCGAGCAGAAGAGGAGCCGGGCTCGGGAGCGGAGGCGGGAGGGCCGTTCTAAGACCTTTGACTGGGCTGAGTTCCGCCCCATTCAGCAGGCCCTGGCTCAGGAGAGGGCCCGCGCCACGGGGGCTTCTGACGCCCACCCCGAGGCTGAGGCCGGCGAGCTGGAGCGGGAGCGTGCGCGGCGGCGGGAAGAGCGCCGTAAGCGCTTCGGGATGCTCGATGCCACGGATGGGCCGGCCGCTGACGACACGGCCCTGCGGATGGAGGTTGACCGCAGCCCAGGGCTGCCTGTGACTGCCGACCTCAAGACACAGAACGTCCACGTGGAGATCGAGCAGCGGTGGCATCAGGTGGAGACCACTCCTCTCCGGGAAGAAAAGCAAGTGCCCATTGCCCCCCTGCACCTGTCCTCCTCCGAGGATGGAAGTGACCGCCTCTCCGCTCACGAGCTGACCACTCTGCTGGAGAAGGAGGTAATGGGCAGACAGGTGGCGGGGTTCTGTGCAGCAGCCTTCCCCAGCACCCACTGTACCTGGTGGTGGCCTGAGTGGGTCAGCCACATAATACTGAGGGACATGTGGCCCAGACCACTCAAGGAGACAGACACACAGACAGGTTCTTAGAGTACAGTGCAGGCACAAGAGGTATGGGAGGGTGCCACGTCATGGAGGGTGGCAGGGAGGGGGCGCCAGGCCTTTCCAGAAGGAAAAGGTGTTTGCCATGCGGTGGGGACACTGCCATATAGAGCCGGGGGTGGCCAGAGACTAGGCCAACGGGATGCAGGACCCAGGTGGGGACTTTGTCCTACCCTGTTACAGGCATGAACTAGAGATTTGAGGCAGGAGAGGGGCATGAGCAGAGTTAGTTTTCCGTATGCAGTGGCCCTGGGTCAAAGGGGCCAAAGCTTGGAGGCAGACACGAGCCCCGAAGCTTTTGCAGCAACCCAGTAACCATCGATGGGATCTGAGGGGGGTGCGGGTCAGGCAGCAGTAGGCAGAGGCTGGATCCTGGATGTTGAGGAATATTTGAGATGTGAAACAGAGGCCCTTTTGGGGGTTGGGGGGTATGAGCCTGGCAGGCTGGGCAGACGATTGCGGTCATGCCACCAACCTGCATAATGCATTGAGCACCAGAGTGGGCCCCTGTGGGGATGCAGAGATAAGTGGGCCAGGCCCTGCATTTGTAACATATCCAGAAATCAAATCGGGGAAACTTGGTAGTGGATTTGTCAATCTGAAAAGTGAGTTTCCTGGACGAGGGGGTATAGCATCGCACTGGCCTTTTAGGAACACTCAGCAGTACGTCCCAAGTGAGTTCTTTACAGAAGTAGCTAACGAAAGCCGAAGAATGGCCACATTGGCCTGCCCTCACTTATCTTTTTCCTGTTAAATTTATGAGGCTGACATTTATCATTAGCACCAGCACTCTTAATTTTTTCCCATTTCTACACGCATTAATATGATAATGAAGGCAAGATGCAATAAAAGTTCAAACTCAACATCGCTCTAAACTGTGACAACGGGCCTGCTGGCCTGCAGGTCACACGTTGGACCATGAATCTGTCACAGACAGCAGAGTGTGAAAGCCAGGTGTCTCAGTGCCGCCCCCAGCAGAGCCTGGCTGCACTCTGCCCCCCGGCGGGGCGGGGCGGCCCCCACAAGCCAGCATCCAGTAGGCACTTGAGGGAGGCTTCAGGGAAGAGGTGCATGGATGGATGACTCCATTCAAAGCCACTGAAAGCAAGAAGAGCGTGAAGTAGCTTGCTTGCTTTATCCATCTCGTGGAACCCTTCCCGCAAACAGAATTTTGTGTGGAATCCATTATATAGAAGTGGTCAAAAGGAGCTGTTTCAGCGGAAGCTGCAGCAGGGCCTAGAGGGAGGGCTGCCCCAAGGCAGCACTGGCCTATTTGACCACACTGAGGAAACCGGAAGGACCCAGCAGGGTAGTCTTCTTCTGACACAGGCACAAAGCACCCATTTCCTGGTGGGGTCTGCTCATCACATCCTTACGGGCATGTGGGAATTACGTGGGTGCCCTGGGTGACAAGTGCGCTGCTGTCGTATACGGCTTGAGCCGGAACCTTCAGTTCCAGATGCTTCAGAGGGAGACCAGATCAGCACGTGCACTGAAACGTGGCCACGTGGAAGGCCAGCCCGGGAGTCCGTGTGTGCTGCGGCTTCTAGTCCTCGCCGTCGCTGTGCTTAACAACGTGTTGTCTCTTTGCCCACAGTTGGAGCAGAGCCAGAAGGAGGCCTCGGACCTTCTGGAGCAGAACCGGCTCCTGCAGGACCAGCTGAGGGTGGCTCTGGGCCGGGAACAGAGCGCCCGGGAGGGCTACGTGCTCCAGGTAGGGCTGAGGGGCTGCCGCAGCCCCTTTTGCTTGGGGCTTCAGCGTGAGGACCCAGGCTAGGAATGTGCAAAACCTGGCTGAGCGGCGGCAGCCTGTCCCAAGTGCCGCCCCCCCGCCCCGGCTCCTCGCCACAGCACCAGGGCTCGCAGGCTCGTGGGTCCTCTGTAGCTTCGCCCTTGTGGGACGGTGTGCAGAATCTGCCTGAAACCTCGGTCTCTGAGGGTTTTTCTTTGTTTGCTTTGTAATCAAATCATCCTGATCGTCTTTCCTCTTGGCTCTCAGAGTACACGGTATATATTTATTATAAATGTCACATGTGTGCCTGTGGTTTCTCCGGGCTTTCTCACAGTTTTTCGGTCCGTTTCACCAACTGGAGAAACTGAGTAACAGCAGCCAGGTGCCTCCTTACCACCACAGTAGCAGCAGAGCTAGACTGGTTCCGCATCCGTGACCTTGTGTGTACCACACCTGCAGGGCAACTGGGGCCATTAGCGCTGGCCTAGTGGCCCTTCTTCTTCTTTTCTGCCTAGGCTGAAGTGCCCGGGCAAAGTGTGGCCGCCCGGCCCTCAGCCCACTCTCCCAGCAGCTTGAGTCCTGAGCTGAGACCCAAACCCATGCCCTCCACCAGGGAGCTCTGCGCCCACATGCCAGCCAGCAGGCAATGGGCGCCGCCCTGGTGTCTCGCCAGGGGGAGCCCATTGTCCTGTAGCATTCCGGGCCCCATCTGACTTCTGGGATACCAAACAACACACTCCTGCCCCCATCATGCTGATATGCCGGTGGGGAGAGCTGTTGGACGGAGCAGTGCTGGGGAAATGCAGAATGGGTTGATGGAATGGGGAACGTGAGCTCCCGGCCAAGGCTGAGGATACAGCACTCCAGTCAGGGTCCTGCCACTGACCAGTAGAAGCTGGTGCCATGCCCTGCAACCTCAGCCTCCTTGCCTGTGTAGACTTAGAACTGGACCCCGAGGACCTTTCCAGCTCTCAGTGACCCAGGGTCTCTGTGATAAGCGTCTGTGTCAACATTTCCAGACCACAGCACCCTGGCCACCTTGGGCCAAGTCATCCCAGGCAGCACATGAGCCTGTGGGCAGAGTTTACCTTCCCTCATATCTCCATGTCGTTTTTTTGTTGCGTGTTCCCTCTGCCTTCTCTTTCTCCCCCAGCTTTAACCGTGGCCCTGGGCGCCTCCTGTGCCCTGGTCCTCCCCAGCCCCTTCAGCCAAGGAATGGCCATGGTGGGCATTCCTCTTTCCTATATGTGCTTCCTGGGTCGTTTTGTGCAGACTTTCCAGGTTTGGGGAGATTTTTAAACCTGCACGAATTCACTTCACATCAGGTGGTAAAGATCCTAGCAGCAGATTTTGCACATTGCTAACCTAAGAACCTGCCTCTGTCTAACCTAGATGATTGCACGAGCCTGCACCAAAGCCCCTGGCAGCGCTGGGCAGAGCTGGTGTCTTGAAACCTTTCCTCTAGTTCTAACAACGGGTGGCTTTTAACCTCCCTTTGTGCTTTGAAAATGCTTATAACCAAGTCATTCCGAATGAGCGAGGGGCCTTTGGGGTTCAGGGTCAGGAGGAGAGCCATTCAGGGTGGGCACTGCACCAGTGGTGCTGGGAGGAGCTTCTTGCATGGTTTGGAAGTCGAGCGTGGAGTGTAACTTTAACATAACTGAGTGTCACATCTGTGGCTTCCCTGACAGCAGACCAGACCTAAAGCAAGCCACCGGCAGGCCAAATTCTTAGGCTGGGCTCTTCTCACTCTTGTTCATGTTGTTTTTGCCCTTGCATTAATTAGTTCTGTCTATTCTGCATGCCTTTCAGTTTGGGGAGTTTTGTTTCATTTGTGTTTTGTTTCTTGCACGCTTCACTCTCTTATTTTGAATTCCATGAAGGTTTGTTTGTTTTGTTGATTATCATGTTTTACTCCATGGTTTCCGTTTCCCCTCGTTTTGTCTTCTTGCAGGTAGAGATTAGTTCTTCCTGTTACTGTAGAGGACGGGCTCCACTTCCCAAAGGAAAATGTGTCAGATGTCACCTCACTGGCATCCCGAGCAGTTGCCTCCCTTCCTTCTCTCCCCGTCCTAGAAGGAAGTGCCACCACCACCCGCACCCCCCTGCGTCCCGGCTTTGTTAGGGTTTGTTGCCTAGAGCCATCTGCCTTTTGTTTTGCAAAACAAACAAACAGATCCCGGAAGCTCTGCTCCTCCCCCTGTCCTCCTTCCCAGCATTCTCCTGTCCTTCAGTCTTCGTTCACTCATCAGTGTGCTCCATTATTCAGTTCTGTTTGGTTTAGTTCTTATAGAAGCTGCTTGGTTAGAGCTGTTTGATGTTACTGTCCATGTGTTCTCTTTACCTAGAAGCAGCTACTTGCCAAAAAAAGTTAAGATGATTTGTTGGATTTGTTTTTTAATTGAAAAAAAAAAAAATTATGCCAAGGATAAAAGGCAAACCCACCAAGGAGCTTTCCTGTGGTTGACCCTGGCCAGAGGTGTGACACTCAGAACTGGGAGGCCCGAGTGGTACTAACCAGTATTTAATCGGTTTCTTTAAGACTGAAGTGGCCACTTCCCCATCCGGTGCCTGGCAGAGGCTCCATAGAGTCAACCAGGATCTGCAAAGCGAGCTGGAGGCCCAGTGCCAGCGCCAGGAGCTGGTCACGCAGCAGATCCAGTCCCTGAAGCGCAGCTACGGGGAGGCCAAGGACGCGATCCGGCACCATGAGGCCGAGATCCGGAGCCTCCAGGCGAGGCTCAGCAATGCCGCTGCCGAGCTCGCCATCAAGGAGCAAGCGCTGGCCAAGCTCAAGGGTGACCTGAAGCTGGAGAAGGACAAGGTCCGTGAGCAGCTGGAGGAGTGGCAGCACAGCGAGGCCGCGCTGAGCGGTCAGCTGCAGGCCAGCGAGCAGAAGCTCAAGAGCGCCGAGGCCCTGCTGCTGGAGAAGACGCAGGAGCTGCGGGACCTGGAGATGCAGCAGGCGCTACAGAGGGACCGGCAGAAGGAGGTACAGAGGCTGCAGGAGCGCATTGCCGACCTCAGCCAGCAGCTCGGCGCCAGCGAGCAGGCCCAGAGGCTGATGGAGGAGAAGCTGCAGAGGAACTACGAGCTGCTGCTGGAGAGCTGCGAGAAGGAGAAGCAGGTGCTGCTGCAGAACCTGAAGGAGGTGGAGGACAAGGCCAGCGCCTATGAGGACCAGCTCCAGGACCACGAGCAGCAGATGGAGGTCCTCCAGAAGGAGAAGTTGAGCGCCAAGTTCGAGGGCAGCGAAGTAGTACACCAGCTGGAGGAGCAGCTGGAGATGAAGGAGGCCAGCATCCAGAAGCTGGCTGAGCACGTCCAGAGCCTCAGAGACGAGCGGGACCTGATCAGGCAGCGGTTCCAGGAGCTGATGGATCGTGTCGCCCTGTCTGACGGGGACGTTGCTGAGCTTCAGGAGAAGCTGAGGGGAAGGGAGGCCGACTACCAGAGCCTGGAGCACTCCTACAGGAGGGTGGCCGGCCAGCTCCAGAGCATGCACACGCTGCTGAAGGAAAAGGAGGAAGAGCTGAAGCACATCAAGGAGATGCACGAGAAAGTTCTGGAGAAGAAAGATCAAGACCTCAATGAGGCTTTGGTTAAAATGGTTGCCTTGGGGAGCAGCTTAGAGGAAACAGAAATGAAGCTCCAGGCAAAGGAAGAGATTTTAAGGAAATTTGTAAAGGAGTCTTCAGAGGACGCGGAGGAGGAGCCACGGAGCGGCCCAGAAGAGGCGGAGGACGGCAGCGTGCCGTTGGGCCCGCAGCTCCAAGCTGCCGGCACACCCCCGGCCTTCCCACATCCCAGGCTCGAGGATGAGGTCCCGGGGGCGGCCCTGGGGGAAGCGCAAGGCGACAGCAGCCCCAAGAGAGAAGAGAGTGTGGGCTCTCTGAGGTCGGACGTGCCGGACAGGGAGGGGCACCTTCAGAGCACGGCCAAACCGGACCAGGGAGTCCCTGGTGTCAAAAGGCAAAGAATCCGGTTCTCCACGATTCAGTGCCAAAAATACTCGCACCCCGATGGGTGCGAGAAGACCTGGACCAGCAGCACATCCTCCGACACCAGCCAGGACCGGTCGCCCTCGGAGGAGAGCATGTCGTCAGAGGCCACCCCCAGCTCTCTCCCTGCGACCAGCGACTCCGACACCTATCTCTCCATAATCCACTCCCTGGAGACGAAGCTCTACATCACGGAGGAGAAGCTCAAAGACGTGACGGTGAAGCTGGAGAGCCAGCAGGGCCAGAGCCAGGAGGCCCTGCTAGCGCTGCACCAGCAGTGGGCCGGCACCGAGGCGCGGCTCCGCGAGCAGCTCCGCGCCAGCCTGCTTCAGGTCGGAGCGCTCGCCTCCCAGCTGGAGCAGGAGAGACAAGGGAGGGCGAAGATCACCGAAAAGCACGTCGGGGAGCTCGGCGACTTCCAGGTGAAAAACAGTCAGGCTCTGGCTTGCTTGGAAAGCTGCCGAGAGCAGCTGTGCTCTCTGCAAGTGGCCGGCCCGGAGGAAGCGCAGGGCGCAGGCGCGGGCCCCCTGGCCAGCATGGAGGGCGCTCTAGCCAGCACTGTTCAGGCCCTGCGCCACTGGCCCGCTCCCGCAGACGGCGCAGCCCGGCCTCAGCCAGAGGAAGCATGTCTCGTGGAGCTTGGGAAGGCAAGCTTGCGGCCGCTGCACCGGCCCGAACTGACCGAGCAGGAGCAGCTGAAACTCCTCTCCGATCAAATAGCTCTGGAAGCCTCACTGATAAACCAGATAGCAGACTCTCTAAAAAACACAACATCCGATATCTCGCGCGTTCTGCACGAGATTTCTCAGTCGGGAAAGTTGCCCCTGGAATCTGAAAGTGCTGCTCTCTGCCCCGGGGACCCAGCAGACACCTGGGCTAAGAAGGTGCTGGTGGATGGCGAATTCTGGAGCCAGGTTGAGTCCCTGAGTAAGCACCTGGGAACGCTGGGCGGAGAGGCAGCCGGCACATCGGGAGGCGGGCAGCAGAGTGTCCCCGCGGCCTTGGTTCCTGCCCTGGCAGACGCCACGTGGGTCAGGGCAGAGCTCAGCTTCGCGCTGCAGTCGGCGAGGGAGTCCTTCCACCAAAGGCTGCAGAGCATCCAGGAGACCCTCCGGGGGACCCAGCTGGCCCTGCGGCAGCACAAGCGTGTGCTGGGGGACATCCTGGGAGCCTACCGAACCCCCGACTTCGAGAGAGTGATGCAGCAGGTCTCAGAAGCCCTCAGGCTTCCCGCAGATGTTGAAGACGGCGGCATGCAGGCATCCTGGGACCTGAGCCTGTTAGGAGAAGTGCTGAGTCATCAGGAAGCATCTGGCTCCCGGGAGCCCTTCTCCGTGTCCGTGTCCGACCAGAGCTCTGGGGCCCTTGTCGCTATTCAGGAAGAACTCGCCCTGCAGCTTAAAGATAAGGCCAGCCTCTTAGGGGAGATATCTGCCGCTTTAACCTCGCTTCCCCCTGTGGAGTCAGTGAGAGATTGTCAGAAGCTTCTCCAGGCATCCCAGAGCCTCTCCTATGACACTTCCCTGGGAGGCCTCGGTCAGTATTCTTCGTTATTAGTTCAGGATGCAATTATTCAGGCTCAGGTGTGTTACGCAGCCTGCAAAATCCGGCTGGAGTACGAAAAGGAGCTCCGGTGCTACCAGGAGTCCTGGCAGGGCAGGGGAGCCTCCTGTCAGGAGCACGAGCGAGCCGTTGGGGCCCTGAGGGACGAGTACGAGCAGCTTCTCCGGAAGCAAAAGAGCGAGTACCTGGAAGTGATTGCCATCGTCGAGAGGGAAAACACCGAGCTCAAGGCCAAGGTCACCCAGCTGGACCATCAGCAGAGGTGTCTGGAAGAAGTGGAGAGCGAGCACAGTGAGAACATGTTCACCCTGCAAGGGAGGTACGAGGAAGAGATCAGGTGTGTGGTGGAGCAGTTGAACAGAGCAGGGGACTCGCTGCAGGCCGAGCACAGCAGGGTCCTGAGCCAGCTGGATGCCTCGGTCAGAGACCGGCAGGACATGGAGCGGCACCACGTAGAGCAGATGCAGAGCCTGGAGGACAAGTTCCAGCTCAAGATCAAAGAGCTGCAGACTATCCACGAGGAGGAGCTGAGGACCTTGCAGGAGCACTACTCACAGAGCTTGCAGTGCCTGCAGGAGGCCCTGCACCACTACCAGCGGCAGCTCCACGAAGCCCTGCCAGCTCCCGGCCCCCCGGGCAGCCCCCACCAGTCCACCTCCTCCAGCTGGCCCGCCAGCCAGCCCCGGGATGCCCTGCAGGCTGCCAAGGGAGAGGCCGACTCCATGACAGGGCTGAGAGAGCGCATCCAGGAGCTGGAGGCCCAGATGGACATCATGCGGGAGGAGCTGGAGCACAAGGACCTGGAGGGCAACGCGGCCACTCTGCGGGAGAAGTACCAGAAAGACTTTGAGAACCTTAAGGTTCCGAAGCATCATTTAATTTTCAAGGCAGTGGAGGGGCAGGCGTTCCTCTGCTGGTGGGGGGGGCAGCGTCTGGTACGCAGGGCTCTCGGGTGGAGCTGAGACACGGTTCTTGGCTCTGAGTTACTGTACAAGCAGAGTGAGGTTGATACTCTGTCCCTCCCCTGAATCCTCGCGGGCCTGGTGTGGTCTCAGAGTAGGGCCTGGGCGAGGGTCTAGCCTCCTGTTCAACATCCACCCGACCCCCAGGGAGGACTGGCAGAAGGAGAACAGGAGCACCGTGAGAGAGGGAGCATGGTCCCCCTCATCACCTCTCTGCCTTGTCCCTCCCGGTGCGCCCAGCAGGGGAAGCCTTTGCTGTCCCCATCCCAGCCTCGCCCTCTCTTCCATCCCCACAGAACCCACTCCAGGCAAGTACAGATGTAAACCTGAGGAGAAGAACCCCGGAGAGACGGGCCAGAGGCTCCCTTAGAGGGCTATCTCCTGACTGCCCTAAGAGAGCAGATTTGGGGTTCCCAAAAGATGGGGATATTTACAAGACAGTGTCGAGGGTCTCTCCTGTCCAACTCCCTGTGGGGACCTGGCATTTAATAGGCACTCTGTGGAAGAAGGGCTCTTCTACTGAACACACCTCTCGGCCACTAGTGCTCCTTCTCTGGGGGCTATGAGAGATGACCTGACCCCCGCACCCCCACCCCGTTTCGCACTCTGCCTCATTAGGCAGAATACCCGGGTCCTGTCATGTAAAGGTGACATTCCCAGGCTTCTCGGGGCCTTGGGCTGTGTGAGCCGGTCCAGGTTCTCACCCACCCCCGTTACAGCTGGACATGCCTGCCTGCATGCGTGCAGCATGGCTGCCCAGCACTTTACCTAAGCTCCTCAGCATTCTGCCCCTGAGCTTCGCGCAGTAAGTGGCCGGGCTCCTCGAAAGCCCTCCATCCCCAGTCAGGCCCCTGCTGGGATGGCGCCTCGCCCAGCCGGTGCGCAGAGCTGGCTCCTGGCCTGCGGGCGCCTTGCTGGGCTGCCCCTGCCAGGCGTGGCGCGAACGCTGCTCTCCAGCAGTACGCCCACGGGGCTGTTTTCTGCGGCCCTGACAGCGCAAGAGAGCTGTGCTGAGTCCGCAGCAGTGTACTCTCTACGTCCGGGGACGACGCAGCCCTCTGACCAAACACAAGCACGTGTGGTCGTCAGCAAGCTCTCGGACGGCCAAGACGCCATTTTCACTGTTCCTTTTCCAAGTCAGTCAGAACCTTTGGAAAATTGTTAGGAATCATGAGAAAGCTTCGAGGGCTATTTTCCAAAAGTGCACAAATGATGTCCCCGTGGTGGTCTGTGCATGTGAGCACAGCATTCAGTTGGGCCAGGTCCACCTATAAGAGCAGTTGACATAAACACCGGTCCCTAGTGCCCTTCCAGCAGAGCACCCAGCTCTGGGCATGTAGATAAGGCCCAAACTGGTGACGTATCATTAGTTAGCAAGAACGCAGGGTGGGGGCTTCTGGCAAACCTGTCTCTGGGGGCTGGGGCGCTGCTCGTTCTGTGCATCCTCTGTCGTACGAACTGAGCATCCAGCCCACCCACGGTGTTCTCACTGACGACCTTGAGATGCAGGAGTTACAACTAAATAGCACTCTTGAGGGCCTCCGACTAATAGCTGTTTCTTTGTGCAGTTTTGCCCGGGTCAGGGAGACCAGGGTCTTGGCCTGACAGCCCCTCTTCTGACTGCTGCAGGCTGACACCTTCCCTCACAACTCTGCACAGTAGCTATTGAGGAACTGGGATTGATCCCAGGGATTACTGGCTTAAAAATTCAAATTTGTTTATAGGTGAATCATTTTTAACGCATATGCTGTCCAAGGAAGCAGCTGGTCTTTAAAGCTAATTCAGTGTTTCTATAGGAAGAATTTTCACCCTTAACTTTAAATATTCTAAAGCCGCCCAATCAAACTAAACCCTAAAAGACCTACTAGCCGTGTGCTCACTGTGAACCAAAGTATGCAGGAGGGAAGATGAGGGGCTTGGAGTGGGGCCAGGCCTGGGAGCCACAGCCCAGGACTCCTCCAGCTCTCCTGTGGTGTGAGGGCAGTAAGAGGAGGCCAGCGGCTTCCAGGTGGGGGCTGCCTGGGAGAAGGAACGCCCAGTTAGCGGTGAACAACAGTTAAGATCAGAGAAAAAAAAAATAAAGAAAAAAAAAGAGAGAGAAAAAAACAGTTAAGATCAGTGGCCCAGTGCAGCCAGTCTGTTGCAGTAAAGTCCAGACTGTTCGAAAATACTGAATGGAGTATCTCAGAAAGGACCGTGGGGGCTCAGACAAAGACACCCAAGTGTGGTGATTTGGTTTCTTCTTATCCTTTCTTGAATCCAGGTGCAGGAAGTTTGATCAAATAGTATATAGGTCGGGAGGGAAGAGCCTCCCTCCACTACTTTGCGTTTCGAATGTAACATGGCCATACTCTTCTGGTTTTTTAAAATTCACTGAAAGGCCTGATCCCTACTCTGAGAGAGACCTTGCAAGGGATTTATACAGGAAGTGTGCCTCCGTGCACAGAAGGCTGCACACGGACCCCCTCACAATTGTGTGGCACGGTCACCTGCACCTTTGGTAAGAGCATTCTGCTAAGCCAGGCTGGGCTTCTCTGTGTGGATGTGTGGGATGGTTGGACCCCATCTTAGGGGTACCTGTGTCCTTCCCCCAAACCCACGTGCAGGTAATAATCCAGCCTGTGTTGTAACAAGGCACGGATGAGTGTGGAGAGCAGTTCTGTTGTATGTCTCATTTCAGTTAATTAGCGCCCTTCTTTGTACTCCTTGAGAAAGGAAGAAGGAAGGTACAGACTGGAAGAGAAGAGATCATGTAGCTTAATCTGATTCCCTCAGTGGACACCAGGTGAAGGTGGCCAGCTGGTTAGTGGCAGGGCCAGGCCTCCTGGCTCCACGTATCCCCCGCCCAGTCCTCACCGGAATACCCATCATTCACAGGATGATCTTGGCTCCCTCTAAGAGCTGACAAAGACGTATCACTGTTCGTGACTATTTGTGAAATGCCCTGTCTGGTGCTGAAAGCTTCTTGCTGTATATCTCAAACCAGACCCAGCCAGCCTCCGTACGTTTACTCTCTTCTCCCTCCCTCTGGTCAGTCCTGCCCAGCCGTGATTCTATAAAGGTCGGGGATTGGCTATTTTAAATTCCACTGTAGCCAGTTCCCACCCACAGTACCAACTTTCCACAGAGAAGCAGCAGGAACAAGCACCCAAATAAGAGAATTTATGTAAATTCTCTTTCCCAAATGCTCCGATAGCATAAGGTGCCCATAGCATCAGTGAGCATCTGCAGACAGCCATCAGAGGACAGGGAGCATGCTGTCTGGACCAGGGCACCTCGAGGGGCCGGGCTGCTGGCTTCATGATAAACAGAACACCCAGAACAAAAGTAAAGGAAAAAAATCCATGGGGTCCCTTTTGCATCTTACAGGCCACGTGCGAGCGAGGGTTTGCAGCCATGGAAGAAACGCACCAGAAGAAGATTGAGGACCTGCAGAGACAGCACCAGCGGGAGCTGGAGAAGCTGCGAGAGGAGAAGGATCGCCTCCTGGCCGAGGAGACGGCGGCCACTATCTCAGGTGGGAGCTGGGCCGGGGCGGCCACTCTCACCCCGAGCGCAGGGCAGGCGGCAGGCTTCCTGAGCGGAGCGCCCAGCTCGGCAGCGAGCAGCCTTCATGCTGCCTTTTAGCTGAGGCTTCGGCTTGGTTATCCAAGGCAGGCCTTCCGCAGTCCCCTCCAGGGAAGAGGCTGCTTTCAGGAGCCCCCTGAGAGCTTGCGAGCCCAGGGCCGGCACCCCCGGCGACACCTGGGGGGCTGTCCCCAGCCTCGCCAGTCCCAGCGCTGGCATAAGCCCACACTGCCTGCAGTGCTGAGAGCATGAGAGCGCAGCGCTGCTGCGGCTCGTGCCTGGTGACAGACTTCCCCACGGAGCCGGCTCTGCCCTCAGCAAGCCTTCATGCCGCCGGTCTTGTGTCCTGCTGCCTTTATGTGCTTCTGCTGTACGGTGCTGGCCTGTTTCAGGATGGAGGAAGACCTACCGCCCCGAAAGCCTGCTTCTTGTATAAACTCGTGCTGGATTTCTTTTCTCCTTTTTTTTGAATATGTTAATCACCATACATTACATCATTAGTTTTTCATGTAGTGTTCCATGATTCATTGTTTGTGCATAACACCCAGTGCTCCATGCAGAACGTGCCCTCCTCAATACCCATCACCAGGCTAACCCATCC